AAAAAAAAAAAAAAAATCCAAAAATTCTGAAAAAAAAAACTATGTTATGCAGAAAAATAAACTGAACAACTTTTGCCTCAGGGTCCCATCGAAATTCTTCACCAAATTTAAAACAAAAAATAAAATTCAACAATATTTTATTTTTTTTAATTTTTTTTAATTATTTTGGCCCGGCCGGGCAAGTGACCCCGGGCTATCTGGTAGCCTAGCTTCTTGAGCAATAGTAGCCTGAATGCAGGCACGTAACCCTTCACACAAAACTTTAGGACCTGATATGGCCTCTATCGACCCCTCTTGGGGTAATTGCTTTGAGCAACTGGGTTAATTATTTTCAAAGCAACTGCGTTCATTATTTTCTTAATCTGGCACCACTACAAGTCCTTCCATGCCTCCAGATGAGGATTTCGGCTGTGTGCCACAACCGCTACATAGAGTACTTGAGACCACAAGTCCTTCCATGCCATCTTTTCCAGATGAGGATTTCGGCTGTGTGCCGATTGAAAAATCGAACTGGAGGCGTCTGGCGCCTACCGGGTAGTGCTGCCAGCCGTTATGGTGTGGTAGGCTGTGCCGTGAAGATCGTATCATGTTTACAGCTGCAAGGGAACAACATACCTGGCATGCAATTATTATGCATGGCTACTAATTCGGAGGTGAGAAATTTGATCGTCTTTGCTCTTATCGCGCTGTACATGGAGCGGTGAATGAATCCACTTCAATCCACCCCCCTGCCTCGATGCCAGATAGATTTGCCGTGTCACTCCTTGTGACAACTGCCACCCTCGCTGCCCTATTTTCTTGTCTCCTCGGCATTGCCACCCTCGCTGCCCTATCTTCTTGTCTCCTCTTCATCACTCTACCGCTTACGTTGATCCGAGGTAGCAGCCGCTCTCCCAACAAGCATCCGCAATGCATCGTCTTTATGCCCAGTTGGCGCCAAGCTGATGTACCGCTTCTCCAAGCATCTCTCTCCCCCTCCCCTCCACCCCTTCTGCACCTCTCCACCCCATCTCCCTCTCCGTATATTGTAACTCTCTGGAGTAACCCCTTTTCCTCTCCTTCGCTCTTCCGCATTTCTCTGTCCGTCCTTCCCTCCTTCCGCTGCACATTCCCCTTCGGCTGTGTTTGCTTCCCTATTCTATCAAACAATTACTGCCTATTTCTCTCGATATCCTCCTGGATGGAGTGATTTAGGCAAACCCCTCTGTCACAAGTAGGCCTTAACGGAGGTAGCGAGAAGTTCTGGAAATTCCCTCATTATTCTCCTTCCATTTGTTCGCACGTCTGGCAGTGCTAGACCGAACTGAGCAGGTTCACATCTCTCTCCATTCCCATCTCTCATTCCCATCTCTCTCCATTTGTCCCAGCACGGTGATGGCCAGCTTAGGAATCACTACGGTCCTATACGTGGAGGTGGCCTACTGGACCCAAGGGCATAGCAGGGTTGCGTGGAGTTTGGAGTGCCTCATCTTGGTGATCCTGCTGCATCAAGGAAAATGGTTTTTTTTTTTTGTTTGTTTTTTTTTTTTGTTTTTTTTTCTTTCAATGAAGTACTTTTTTTCTTTTTTTTTCTGGCGAACACTTTTTTTTTTTTTTTTTTTTTCTTCCTATACAGTACTAAATACAAAGGGCCCTTTCGTTTTTCGAGCCTTGGCTCAAAGGAGAATTCAGGCCCAAAAAAACACCTGCCTTGGTGCCTTTCAGCGGCCCAACCGTACCTGCGTCACCCGTATACCGCGATGCCCAATCTCTACCAAGCCTCACGCCCCCAACTGCTAGGTTACAGAGTGGCACGACCCACCCC